ATTTCAGTTGTTCACAAATTAGGAGGTGACAAAGCGTAGCTCTGTTTCACACAAATAGATTTAATCCTCACACAATGGGCTCATCAAATGAGTTTGATGAATTAAAGAAACATGTCACTAAACTCGACTTATTACACGATTCATAATGAAACTCAGCAGGTAAGCGAAACTGACGTGGAACAAATCACAACAAAGTGGGCAACACTGCCTCCGTCCCTATCGTCTTTTCTTTACCAACTGTTTACATCTCTCCTATCTGAAAGGAAACTCACCTCAACCAGAGGGTGAACTTATTACAGACCTTGCAAACCAGCAGGAATTTTCTTTTCTCTCTTCCAAAGGAACAAAACATTTTGCGAGGAGAGATTGAAAGAGAGAAAGGTGGAGGGCAGATTATCCTGGCAAGCGGGGAACAATTCAGGATGCCATTCAAAAACCTGTTTTATTGACGCAAACAGGACTGCACTTTGAGGGCATGGCGGATATAATTTCAAGAATGGCTGAAAGTCTTTGGGATTATATTTGAAATGGCTTCAGGTTGGTGCATGATGGGATTGGCCCATTGAATGCCTTTCCAATCCAAAATGAGGAATTCTGAAGTAGGAATTTATGGTGTATTTATAAGTCTACTCACTCTTCTTTTGTATAAGTAGTGATTGGCTGACTACAAAAGGAACAGCTGATGTCAGACTGTTAAGTGCCCATATTTTGAATGGTAGAACTAAATAGGTTTCCTCATACGTATATGGAGACCTAGTGGCCTACATGTAATATTTATCCTATTCCAAACTAATGACTTTTCTGTAGATCTTAATTCTTTTTCGTACATTATTCCCTTTCACCAGAATTTTTCTGATTCATCTAATTCCTTTTTCTTATTTCCTTTCCTTAGGGATACATCAACATCAATTTGCCATCCCCTACCCAGGAGAGAAACGCGGGGGCTGCAAGGATTAAATGTGATTGCCAATTTGCTACTGCTGTATCAAAGTCCGTGCATGAAAACAGTGCATGCTCTATCAGAGAGCAGAATTGTCGAACAACTGTACAAGCACTTGAAATTCATTGATGAGGGCAATAACAATTCATAATCATGATAGAGATCAAGCACTGATAGATGGATCATCATTTATTATTCAGTACTAAGCCAAGATGTCACATCACCTCACCGCATAAGCAAAGCTTCTAAGAGCACACTCCCGCCGAACATGGCAGCACGAATATGTAACGGAGGACAGAAAGGTGATAGCTAGCGTCCATCAAACCTGTCCAGCGGTACCTCGTAGTGTCTCCATGCTTAGTCTACATCAATGCTCTGTAGCGATCAATGCTCTACACCATGCTGTGCCTTTGGCATGAGCTGTTTTTCTTCAATGAAAATGCTGCAGAAGTTCACCAAAGTGCCATCTCTTGCTGCATAGTCTACCTTACACAAACAACTTTGTTCTTATTTCATGATATACATGTTGAAAACATCCAGGTTGATTAGATGGAGATCACTAGTATTATTTGATGAATGCACATAGAGTGTATAAGGTGTTTTTTATTAGTCACAGTAATACTAAAATCATGAGGCTCCTGCATCGATCCTAGACGAAAAGGTATTTCAAATCTAGCAAATATTTAGATGAGACACTACACGATTAATCCCCATAATGGAAAACATATTCTCCTTACCAAATTTATATGAAAATGTCTCTTTTATTTTAATTAGAAAGAAGAATAAGCAAGCAAGTTGACAAGGAATGCAATTCACACGTAACTTTATATTTAGAGAATCAATATTTTTAACACTGAAAAAGCATCAAATGTAAACCGTCCCTTAAAATATACTTAGTATGTGGGAGCTACAAATTTGACCACAAATGCACAAATAGATGCCTTATTCCAAGACTAGCACCAGAGCAGCAGGAGGTGCGAAGTCTCCCTTGCTCAACCTTCCCAAGCAAAGAGGGCTCCCCGCTGCTCCTCGAAGCACACACATATTTGTTGGTCTGACTGTGTTCTATTTGTATGTTGGCATGTTGTAGCATGCATCCCGTTTGTGAACCTGTGTCAATCAAGCTGTGCATTGCAGTCGACTGCACATGGACTCTTTTTACCGTTTCAGATTCAGAGTTCAGACGAATACAAGCATTGTCTGATGTTTTCAGTTTGATGTTTCTTTTGAACATCTTGTTAAAATTTATTGACTTTTTCTAAAGACAAGTGGAGTAGGCCTACAGTTAATAAAGATCATTTTCTACAACAGTATATCTGAGGGACAGCCCAGTTGTTCTCACAAAATGACCCCCCCCCCCCCCCAAAAAAAAAAAAAAAAAAAAAAAAAAAAAAAGAGCAAGCCCTGCATGCCCGCATCTTTGATTCCATATCATCATTCATTGAATACAATTTTCCTGAAAATACGTTTATAAAAAGCAAGGGGAAAGGGGAAAGAAAAAAAACCCATTGAAATACAAGAAAAAGTCTAATAGATACAGGAAGAGAGAATGTTGGAGAGAGAAACGCTAATCTATCTAAAGAAGATAGGAAGACATTTTAGCAAAGCTGAAATCCAACAGACATTTCCATATACTGTACATGTAGAGCCATCTCGAAACTATAAGAAATAATCACAATTCACTATGAACGTTCCTTGCGAGGGACGATAGGGTCTCACTGATGATCTGGATGAAATGGATGTAGTCCACTTAGCACGCAATTCAATTTACAACAGGCCTCAGGGTTTGGGGGTTCAAGTATTCATTATCACAGAGAGAGAGGAACCAATTCACCTAATACTCCAACACAGAGGTCAATGTGTGGGCACACATTGACAGCAGTCCTTCACATCACATGCGCATCGTCGATTTGAATGTCTATATGAATATTAGTTAAATTATCCATTATTGTAAATGTGATAAACAAGATATAAAAATATGGGAATCAAATAAGAATAAATTGTTCTCATGCCTATATTATTTTTATCACCAGACAAAGTTTATACGTCTATACTTTCTCAATCATTTGAGTAATTTCAGAAAATGATTCAAATACTTCCTTGCAAGAACAGACAATTTTTATGTAAAAATTTGGTTTGATATGATCGATGTAGCAATACATCGTCATACCATTTTTTATTTTTTTTCAGTATATCACTTTCTTTAATATTTATTCATTTACATCACTTTCTTTAATAACTATCCACATAATTGTTTTTAAAAACTACAGTTTTACGTAATTTAAACAAGTAGGAGAAAAATCTTGTAAAAATAATAACAAAAACACTTTCCTGTTATGCAAATACAGTAAACAGTCCAACACTGGTAGAAGAAAAAAGACAACTACATTTCTCAATCTTAGAGCAATACAGAGGGGCAGGAGAGAAGATCAACCACCATCAGGTAAATCATGAATTTTCAATTGATATGTCATCTAGAGCACAGAGAAGGTAAAATATTGTGAAATGGAATGATTCCCAATTGGACTTTATCTCTTATGATTTGTGATGCACTGGGGACATGTTTTATTGGATCTGACTGTCTTACGCCCAGCACGAAACAGCCATCAAATCCACTTAAAAGTTAATTCTGATAAAGGTCTCTATTCACACTAAATATCGTTGGTATATTGTTTGATGAAGACGACTTTCCTTTAGAGGGTTTATGAAAATTCTCCTCTTCAAGGTAGGTAAATGTCAAATGTTATGTCTAAATTAAAACTCTGTCTTCTGACACAAGGCGTTTATAATCCACTTAAAAAAATATGGCACAATAAAATGAGATCGGTACAGCGCATGCCACATTTTGTATTTAAAATACACAGATCAGTGATTTTGTGTACAGGTTAATGTAGGAGCCATTGTTGTACTGTACGTTATATGTATTATGTATGTATTTTCTCCTCTAAAAAAACGCCTGATATTAAGTTTTGCCATGGAAGTTTGAAAGGCAGTTTCTTGTATGATGTCTTTCATGATAAGCAAAACAAAATTCCTCTCCCATGCCATGCAAGTTGGAACATGTGAACAGCACAGGCCGAGAGGCTAAACCATTTATGCTTTCATGTGAGCTCGTTGTTCCGCCACCAGGCACAATTTGTGGAATGATGTGCAGTATGTCTGGCCGACCTGTTGGTGATTTATTGGTGCTTTATCAGTGGAACGCTAGGGAGAGACTGGAAGATTCCAAATACGCTTGATTAAAATTAAATGATCAATCAGGGATTCATTTGCCCTGAGTGGAAATGCATGCAGTTTGCTCATTTATCCAGAAAATGAAAAGCAGGAGTGTTGGGGCGTTTTTCTCGGTAATGAATGTCATAATGTTGCTTCTCTTGCTATGTACATACAGAGTCAAACCCATTGTACAAGGTACTGATGAAAATGTAATATCCAAATCCCAAAAGGGATCATTTTGTGAAAACGAGAGGGTTTCTGGGTGTCATGGGAGTGGGGCCACGGAGGGAGGGGGGGGGGGGGCGATGAAGGAATCATACATGTGCTTTATGTCTGTAAGGATGGGGCATTGAACAGGTCGGAGGATCGAGGCTGCTGCATCCCCCTTTAAAAGTAGACACGTTTCATAACGCTCAAGTAGTAGACATGTTTCATAACGGTCAAGTAGTAGACTTGATATGCTCATTTTTCATGGCCAGTCCCGCCCCCTATGTCCGTTCCTACAACCTGAGGCAAACCATGTTTATTCTCCACAGAAACTGTGACAATAACCTTCGACTTATTTACAAAGTTGCAGCTGAAGTTGTTATTTTTCGTCAAGAAATATGAAACACTATTCATTTACGAGGATTCATAAAAACATTAAATGCAGTACAGATCAAAGATGTTCATGACTTTTGACAAAACAAAGTCTACTTGTATACACTTGCTTTATCTGTCTGTCTCTATTTCTAAAAGGATTATCTAGAGACTTTGTTATAGGTGTGAACAAAGAAAGGGGAAATCAAATATTTTAATATAAGACTTTGAAGGCACTTTTCTAAATGGGAAACAACAAACTTACCTATAAATCCTTCTTGGCACAGGCATGTGTATCCAGCTTCCTTCTGAACGCACACCCCTTGGTTCATGCAGGGGTTGGAGTAGCAGAAGTTGATCTCTGTCATACAGTAGTTCCCTGTGAATCCTGGAGGACAGTCGCACTTGTAGATAGTCTCAGGATGGATGGAACGGAAGATGACTGATGTTGTTGCGATGAAACCACCAGGTGTCCAGAAGACGAGAGGTGCAATGCACTGGTAGAAGTCACTGCATATCTCGTTGAGGCAAAGGTTATCGCCAAATGGAAGAACAGTAGCACCTAGCGCCTCAGAGAGCTGGCTGCGCTTGAGGTAGACCCTCTCCTGCAGGTACTGGGAGCTAAAGAAGGAGCCATCGGGACGTTGCGCCGCAAAGGTGATGTTGAGGATCATGGTTTCCTCGTCTTTGATGCTGAAGAGGTAGACCAGGTCCTGGTTGGCAGGGATGATACCAGCGAGGGCATCAATGAATTGGAGCAGCTTCGGAGTAAGGAACTCGTGGGACTGCATGTCTTCTACCTGGACAGTCACACTACTGAACAGCATGTCGTGGGTCACCATGATCATCCGGAACATACAGGTTGCTGTCCCCATGTTTACACCATCTGTAGGTAAATAAAATAGGATATGAAAGGATATTTAATGACTATTATCATTATAGATATTTAACACTCTCCTGTACTGTGGAAGGAAAATCAAACAAGCAGTAGACATATCAGATCTCATCCATGTAAACTGATTCAAATTTCTTTCATCAAACAAGTTAAATGACAACACAAATACTGTACTAACATTTACATTGCAAACTACGATTTGTTTATTATACATGTTTAGTGTAATAATGGTAAACTAAACAAGCATAATGACAAAGCAAATACAATTTCTTTTATAGCAAAATGCAATTTGTTTATTTGTCAACTGTAAACACTGCATTGATTAACATGATAACCAACTATTAGAATATAATTCATGTATGATGTATGATTATAATGTAGTATGATGCCACAGACAAGCTTGTAACATGTCTGTATTCCACCAATCTAGACCTTTCATAGCACAATAATACTCCAGTTTTCCTAAAATTATGCCACTACATACACTTTAACTCCACCATTCCTATCATTTCAAAATCCATCATCGACTTTCAACATGTAAAAAAGGAAAACAGAACAGTAACCCCCTAGAGATTTACAAACACTCAATTTAGACTGGGCTTGCAAATATTTATTGAGCTCTTGCCAAAATATTGCCTCAACTCTCACATAAATATTAGTTTCCTTTTGATTCCATTCACCAAACTTCTCACAATGTGAGCATCGGGCATGATTGTTTGCAGAGCTTGGCTATGAGCTATTTTGCTTCTCTTTCATGAACAAAGATGGCAGCGCCATAGTTCTGGATACGTGCATGAGCCTACTTAATGCTAGCCGTAGAATACGTGTTTATGCATGAAGCAGTCTTGCTCTCCAAGCCAGCACAACTTATTTCACATCTTTCCAGAATTCATACTTTTTTTTCTCTTTTGATTATCATACATATTGTATGTCCTGAACTTCCATAACTCAGAAGGAAATTCCATAGACCGACGAAGCACAATTTCTTGATCATAATTGGAGATCAAGGAATTATTTTTACCTGACTGGAAAGAAAACTACTTGCAACCAGAGGGACACAGAGTATGAATTCCTTTCTGAGGGACTTGTTTATGAGGATTTATGCCTTAAAAGGGCATTAGAAACTTGCTTTTAAATCTTTAAAACCTAGTTACAAGACCTCTGCTCTACCACTGGGCCTATGTGCCTCCTCATATATTATACAGTCAGCCCAAGGACTTCTAAAGCAAAATGCTGCAAGGTGGGCCTAAATACATATGATCGACTGCACGTCCTACATATGGAAACAAGGAAACGTCACTTTCTTACGCGAGAGGATGCATTCTGCATACAAAGAGAAAGGAAAGTACAGGTGCGTCGGAACGTGATCAACACCTATTCCTTCACCCAACATATGACAGTACAACTCCTCCTCAATAGATAGCCTGTTCAGACTTACAGAGATTCAATCTCATTTACCAAACTTGTTTAAAGAATCATCGTATAGCAGAAGGAGCATACAGGCTAGGAAACAACATCCCAAAGAGAAACGTCATATAAACAATTTTTTTTTTTTGAAGAGCTCAATTGATGGGACAGCTGACCAATCATCAGTGCGCGATCATGATAGGCCCACCCCCCTGTATAGTTTCTTTATACGATGTTCAGACTACCCTAGGGGAAAGTTAATTACTTATTGTATAGCTAGAAAAATACTCGTATCGCTATATGAAGAATCCTGTTCATCATGGTAGTCTGAACACTTGGTCTATATCTGATTAAAGAATCCAAACCCGAGAATGATCCATGTGCTTGATACATCCGGTGACATTTGGGCCCTGGGGTTACAAATGTTACCGATGTATAGCATACCATGTGCAACCTGGCTTGGCCCCAAGGGTGTGAATATCACAACTCCTGGTTCAACCTCAAAATGGGAAGCTATGGTTACCAAGATCCAGTCACTGATATATACTTGATCTCCTAGATATGTTTCATCCATGGTGTCAGAGTGGGGTGATTTAATATGCAAGTGTAAGGAGGACATCCTCCTGATGTACAAAGGCCTGGGATGGATTCAGATGTATTTAACTGTCACTGTTACGTACCCTAACAGACTATTGAATGTTAAGAAGAGCGTACATTGTTTAAATGAAAAATATATTTATTCAGTGGTGGATATTGTAACAGATGATAGGTCTTACTCATGACTTTACACTATATTAAAATGAGCCTATATGGAGGTGTATATCACCAAATATGTCCACAGGTTTTATCAATCACTGCATCTGACTGCGGAATATTCAGCATGCTGGGATTTCTAGAGCATTCCTTTTTTCAGGGAACTACTATATTCACCGACTCCTTACGCCTGGGTTAAGAGAGTCAACTTTACATATAATGCCTTGTTCAAGACTCAAGGGCAAGCACCAAACTAATATTGAAACCCATTATAATTTTTTTTTGGTATAAATGAAACACTTTTTCCACAATACCTTCCTTTTTATCCTCTTCCTCCCCACTCCTTCTTTGGCTCATGAATTGCTATCCAACACCTAGCTCCCCTAATCTTACGACTGGCCCCACAGTGACACACTCTATCATCTCTGGTTCACCCTCATCTAACATTCACATGCTTCGTACCTACTTCCTCCATTGAACACCGTGAATGCCGAGATAGGCCTAACATGCGTGAGCATACGTGAAGCGAGCACATATCGCTCCCTCCAGCTTTCCTTGCCAAGCTACTATTAACCACATGAAAATGGACACTGCCTTTTCATATTAGGGTTCACGAGAGAGGGTTAGAAACATATCTTGGGGCGTCTTTCCAAATATACGAACGAGATGCTACTATTTTCCAAAAAGATTATGTGCAGCACATTTGCGTTAATGTCAATATGAGGTCATCACTTATAGCTCACATTTGAGTTTACAAATCATACCCTTGGAGCGGTGGAAGTGTGTATGCACTACATTTTTCAAATGAGGTTCTTAGAACGAGATTTCACAATTCAGACCCAAAAAACTAATGTGCACACATTGGGTGTTAATGTCAATACGAAGTCATTGCTTAGAGCTCAAACTTCAGTTTAATTATAACATCAGTTGAAGCAATGGAAGTGTGTATACACTACATTTTTCAAATAATGTTTTAAGAACAAGATGTGGTAATTACAAAGAAAACGAAATCAAGTGCAGCACATTTGTGTTGATGTCAATACGAGTTGATCAATTATAGCTCACCTAAATCCCATTACTGAAACCACTTAAGGTTGAAATGCCTGTCAAGACGTCAATATGTTTTTTCATGTGCAAAAAAAATATTTCTGAATCACCATATCATGGCAGACGGTGATTTTGAATCACATTCAAGAACCATTGAGATTCGTTAGTAGGTGAATATCCATGTTACTAGTCTGAATACACACAAGAAAATGAGAGAGTAGTTATCATAGGAGGAAACATACAATCTTCTAAATTTATCACTCATGTGCCAACTATCTCATGATACAATTTTTATTAACGCAAGTTCATAATATGTACATTTAAAGAAGTTCCTTTTCCATCAAAATTCAGATATCTCAAGTTTTATTTTATGAACTCATATCTGTAGAGAATTATCAGGGAGACTCCATACAATAATGATGATCTAGACTCTAACGCGTCATTTATAGCCCTGTGCAATTTTCACACACATACTTTATGGTTCAAGAGCATACAAGTGGCAAACAGCCCCTGAGACCTGACTTATTTATCCAGCCGAATACTGCCTATATTGGACTGTTTCTCCCGAAATCCTCCAAAGACCAGGTTCCTCTCCCCAAAAATATTCTCATCAAAAAAGGTCAGACAAGTTCACTATGTTGGAAGATTCATTCAAAATGGCTGGAAAACCGACATTCACCAATAAAATCTGACATAATATTGCTTCCAATTTGGTTTAGATTAAACTGAATAGGCAACTGTACTAGCTTATACAATAGGATTCTGTTGAGCTGGGCACTTTCTACAGGAGATAATGATGGAATAATAAATGTGTTTGAGAATAATTCAATCCTTGATAGTAATAGATAATTATTCGTACTCTAATAATAATTGATTGATATAATTATTCTTCATCTGGACCCTGTATCATGAAAACTTGCTATAACCACTGTCTGTAACCATCCATAACAAATATACTCATAGCTAGTCAGAATCATAATTTCAGTGGCTTCCATCAATTATATTAAGTTGTTATTCATAACAAGTTTTGTGAAACAGCGCTATGATCTTCACTGAACTTCACTCATTAGGGAAGGATATATCCACCACAATCATACACTCTCGGTAGCCAATCCTAGCCACTAGACAGAATTGGGTGGATTGATTTCTGATCTATCGTAATAGACAGAAATGGTTCTGGCACTGCCATGATTATGCAGGATAGCGAAGCTCTGTCTACCGTTTCATTAGGGATCATGGCATCCTGGTGGCATATTATGGCAAAAATCAATTGACCTTTTATTGGCATCGAGCTGCTGTTTTTCACCTCATTGAATAGACAGCATTTTCAATGTGCCGTGACAAACATTATGAATATATTGATTGATTCAATTTGATTTTGTATGACAGAGTTTATTTGCATGAAAGAGCAAGCCTGGTAGAAAGGGGTAAAATGGAGAGCATAAATTCTCTCCATATTCTAAATGCTCTTGGCTGAGTTTACTAGGGCAATAGGAATGCTGACTTGAATACAATTGTAAAATCATTCAAATAATAAATGATGCATGGGGGTATAAAACGCATGTATATGTAACTGATGCCTGATGACTATTTATCTAAACGTCAAAATCAAGTACATCTTTCAATTGGGCAAGAATGAGAATAGAAAGAAAATGATAGAATATTGGTCATACTGTTATAGCGCTTAGAGACTTCGGTGGTAAGCGCTTTATAAGTAATGTTATTATTATTATTATTATTACTCTAGCATGATATATTGCAATCAAAAATCATTTCAAAGG